GACCTACCAATAGGTGCTCTCTGAGCGACGATACAGTGTTTTTTTTTACTTTTCAGTTGGACCATATTTCTGCATTCCAAGTTTTACGTCCAGCATCGCCGTTCGACATCCCATCAGAGATCGCTACTATATACTACCACGTTCCGCTGAGTTCTTGAAACGATATAAAAATTCCGATCGGATTGTTGACTTATCATAAGAAAACACTTAAACTGTTGTTGTTTCTAATCAACAAAGCTTTTTTCCTTAGACCAGGTCTAGTTATATTTAACCAATAGCCTTAGAAAACTACTTATTACGTTTTTCTAGGATGCTTACAGACAACGTTTTAAAAAACCATTATCAAGAATACCAACGAGCTTTACCAGCCAAAAAATAGTACAACGAGGTTATGATAAAAGATATAAAAAATCTAAAGAAAATCAAGTCGTGCGCTTGGCATCAGCAAAACACGTATCCATTGCACTTTAAGATATGATGAACAAAGAGTTACGCTCTAACAACGGCACATGCTCTCAATGAAGGCAATACGACCTAAGAACACAATGTTGCGTTTCACAGACATGATACAGTTTTTAAGGAAGATTGTTTGGATAGATGAAACAACATGAAAATGATATATTGCATTCACTAGACAACAGTAAGCCTATATGTTACACAGGATATGTATATGTAAATATAGAAAACACCGTTGGATAAGTTAACTGAGAAGGATTACAAATCCTTGGTTTTTATCTTTATTAATAATATTCCTTTTCGTTTAGACATCGAACCATCATTTCTGTCATTATTATTATTAATATCGTCATCAACCTCATGTCCATTATCATCATCAGCCTCTCGTCATAGAACACTGATTTGACCCAATTGGGTGTGGGATCTGCTTCAATCTGTGCCTCTCTCTGCCTGCCTGTCTGTCTGTCTGTCTGTCTGTCTGTCTGTTTATATAACCGTTTTCATCTATTCATTCGAACACCGCCTTGAGGCTACATGCGCACACACTCACCTTCCCTATCATCATCCTCATCGTTTGTTGTCTTTACCAGCATTACTCTTTGGCACCACGGACAATCATACTACTATTATAATTAGAATTATCGTTCTTCTCTTTTTATTTTATATGTGTTTGATATTTTATGTGTGTTTGTGTGTGTGTTGTTATAATTCTTACCGTATTTATTGTTACGAGCGTCTATATTATTCATAATGTTCTCATAGTCGTAATAATTATGATTAGTGTTATTGTTACTTGTAAATAAGAACTGCATATATCTCAATGTTATTTAGCGTGCGCAATCTAGTACATATTCGTCATTACTTTTCTCTCTTTATCAGCATTTTCTTTCATCGTTATTGATTAAAACTGTTATTTTAATTGTTGTTGTTATGATTAGTATCAGTTGTCTTTCTTGTCTACTTCTTCTTATTATTATCAGTATCATCGGTAAACACCGGTAAATCAATGATCCATATTCGTCTCATTATTCAGTGTTGCTGTTGTTAAGATCTATTAAGATCAGAAGCAATACCAGTATCATCGTTCGGAATAGTAGAAAAATAGCAGAAATGCACAACACCACCATCGAAACGAACCAAACGTCACAGTGAACCAGTGTAAATCGTTCATTCTCGGCAGCAGTAACGGCCTGCTTTTATCTTTCATATCATAATCTTTCCGTGAGTTCACATTAGCAGAACGGAAATAGCTGATATATGCATACGCTATGGGCGGCTCTAACAGCTGCTGCTGCTGCAGCAGCAATAAAAACTATGCGTCTACGTTGCCACTGCTGCCGTCATTATGCTTATGGCACATGACGGCATGACGATGGATGCCTTGTGCTCCATATAGACCGTATAACGTCGACCGCCATAGCCATCATCATCACTTCGACAACAAGAACAACCTAACCGAATAATCATTGATACGGACCACCGCGGACACGACTCGCACTGAAAGAATGCCCCCCTCTTGCGACTTTTTTTTTTCTGCCAATTGCTCACTGTTCTACTGTTGCTATCACTTCTGTCAGTGTTATATATATATATATATATATATATATATATTCATGGAAGGCGGTTAGTGTTGGCCCGTTGTTATTTCGGAAAACACACACACTCAGGCGGACACAGTTACCGCACGTAATAGTACCACTAGAATGAACACTGAGGAGGAACTGCGAGTTTTATCTCGGCGTTTCGATCTCGGTATGCTGCCACATAGCGGAGTAATGTAGACGAACAAATAACTGCAAAAAGGGACAACTGTGAGTTCGATTATCGTCAGTCGTCGAGGTAGTACACTTGCAAGTGGTTCTAGCCTTCGATGACACGGGTGGTGGTTGTAACATCGGAAGTAGAGAAACAACATATATATATATATATATATATATATATATATATATATATATATATATATATATATACAACGTATTTATTAAGCTATGCAGAGGTCTTTGCTTGCTCATGATGATTGTTTAGCCGAGCAGTGAACGGCACCTGAATACCACGATAGCATCTTCAACCTACTTCATAATGAATTCTGTACACACGATAAAAGAGGAAGTGATCTTTAAACTATTTATCGAGTTCCGTTTGTCACTTCTCGCTTATAACACGTTGCGTTTGTTTACCTGCCTGGTGATCAATGGAAGCCACGTTGGTTGCTCATCATCATTATTAATATTATTATCATTATGTTTACCATACTCCTGTTATTATTGAGAGTAATCGAAGCAGATCCCCGGGTCTGGGCGCAAAAATCAAGTCCATATACATATGTTGAACGATACTAATAATAATAATTATTATTAATAATAATCTTACTTTATTATTACTTTCTCATCTTCTTTCATCACCACCATCTTTATTATCATCCTCGTAATTATTATTATAATTATATTGATTGTTGAGCGAGTTTACACACTCCATCACGATATCTAAATATCTCCATAACTCATTTCGACATTTGATATTCCACAGACAAAAAGATGTGTAAACCGGGACACAGTCCCTCCTGGAGGGCTTTCGTTATACATGGTCAGTAGCAGCATAGAACTGCTACTATGCGTAGTATTCGCAATCATCCGCCGTCTATCATTACATTCATACACTATAGCAATATTATGTCAATCAATCGGTCAGGCTATCAATTAATCAATCAATCCATTAACGATGATAATGTCACTTAATCACTCTCGGCACTTATTTCAACTGCAAATAGGTGTTGGCCGGGATCTACCGACACAACGGTAGCGCCACGGCATTGAAAAAAGCTCCGTGTCACCACGAGATAACTCTGGTCTGATCGTCAACAAGAAATGAACAAAATACGAGTACAAGGGGCACTACTGCAAGACGACTATGTTAACGGGATATTTCTCTTTTTCGCCTACTTGCTTTCTTATCGTCCGTCCACCGTACCGTTGTTCCCTGGAAGTCTCCCGTTCTCTTGATAGGGCTCAACTATCTGTGAACAATCATCTCTCTACAACACACATCTGGGACAGGAAGACGATGCTCACAAAAACAATCACTCGTTCACTCATTCTGCCTATGTATACGCCAGTAATAAACACCTACACACAGGAAAACTCTTTCGGTCATCATAAGAAACACTAGTACGCTCCACTGCTCGACCGCTATATATTCACCATCCATCATTCCTCCCCCAACTCGACTTTCTATTCCATCTATTTCCATAAATAATAATAATAAGAAAGGCACCTTGATAACTATCAGTGACCACTGCCTGCTACGACAAACGGAAGAACATAGCGCGATCGTTCTTCAAGACCCAGTTTTCAGGATTCAGGCCAGCTGGCCTGTACAGGTGATATCTAGTGAATATCACTTCGTTTCTTCCTTTTCATAATATATATATATGGTGAGAGAGGGAGAATATCAGATCATCACAACATGCCTTATCTACTGTTTTCTGCGTGACAATCATCGTGTCAATTCAGTTGTTATATTAACGTTTTTCTCGAGCGTTTCCTTTAATCCATCAAATCTCTCCCATAATATAAACTGTTGCAACGTTACCGCTCTGACGATCTTGCTACCTAGAAATAACTATTTAACTGATCGGTTGGTGCGATCATTCGGGCAGGTGTATTATTTTTATTTATTTGCTTGTCTTTCTTTGTCACATTGAAGTTAGTAACGTATATATATATATATATAAAAGATGCATAGGGTCAACACCGCAAGACGAAAATATTGGTCTCGAGTCCTGAACGACTATGGGAATATTCTGTGATCGTATTCTTGCCGATGTAGCAACCTGTCCACCCATAATCATGCTACACTTTTATTACTGTACAGTTTTGTCCTAGATCGTTATTGACTTGTTTCTGGTTTTCTTCTCTCTATACTGTTATTTTCTTCCCTCTGAATCCGCTGTTATTGCGATATTCGCGGCGCTGCTCAAAAAAAAGAAAGGGCACTTGCCACCGTCGACAGCATGACACGATTGCGGCAATCGCCCTACAGAGCCCTACTGCATTCTACACTGAAGGGGTGGGCGGGAGGCGCGAGCGTGCGACACCTTAATATGCCGCACAGCCATCGGGTTACCAGTGAAGCAGGTGAATTGGTCAGCGCTTCCGCAACGTGGCCTGTCGGCCATTATGACTCACAATGGCAAACAGCGGTAACTAGTTCTTTCGCTAACACTCATATACAGACAGGACTCGCTTTGCTGTCCTTCAACATTTCTGTTACTCTCCCTCCCGAATGATATTGCATATACCAGTGTTATATAATATATGTATATATATATATATATATATATATATCTGTGTTGGAAATGTAGCCTTAGGTGTAAATCTGTATGTTTGCTTGCAGTATTTTGAGACCTTTATTTACCAGTGCCATGAGCTTCTTTTATTATTTGATATCGGAGTGTGTAGGCAGTTTGTGTGTGTGTTTCTGTGTCTGTTTGTCTGTGTGTGTGTGTGTGGTGTGTATGTGTCTGTGTGTCTGTATGTGTGTATGTGTCTGTCTCTCTGTGTGTGTGTATGTGTCTGTGTCACTGTATGTGTGTAAGTGTAAGAGTGCGTGTCAGTGTCTGTGTATAGTATTGATCATGGATGACGAATTAAGGATGCATGCTACCCGATTGCAATCGACGAGTACCAATTCCACCCTTTTCTTTGATTCTTTACGTCAGATATGAGGTACACCTATATTTGCGTGACAGAGTAGCCTGGGAAAGAAACATGCCAAGTGTATACCTCTAATGTGTGTTTATGTGTGTATGCTCCCAATAATAAATAGGTTTGTATATATATATATATATATATATATATATACAACAAGGTCTAATGCTCTGGGAGCCTGCCACTATGATGGTACAAGAATGATAGTAGAATAAATTAAGAGGGCGTGATCGTTTAGATGCATCTTAGTCATTTTGCGTCAGTCGTTTGCATTCGGGTTTACATCCTACAGCGAATCACTTTTTGCATCATTTTTGTTCCATCTTTAAAACAAGTACAACAACATTACACGTCCACGTATTCCATTCTAATGCAGCAGTAAAATCCTAGCCTGTGGTTAATCCTTGCGGGTGGCCAGATGACTGATTTTTCTTCCGTCGCTTCTGCAATTATCCGTTATCTCTACTCCGTTTAACCTCTGAGCTTGCACTGCTTACTCGCACCGCCGAACACTCAAAGGAAATCCGCCCCTTCCGCTGTCAAAACGAGTTCTACTTTTAAATATAATCCTGAGAAACACTGCCGGCGTTCTTTGTTGTACTGAAGCCATTATATTGATCGGTGAATGGCTGCGTGAAAGAATGACTACTTGGATACTGATGAAATCGCCGTGATATGTGTGCTTATGCTCGCCAAATCTTACTGACGGTAATTGTGAATCCGTGTTATAGATGTATTCTGTTGATACGACCTGTCCGATCTGGTCGATTGGTGACCTCACCGACGTGAGCCAATTGTTCTTCCGTCATTTCTAGGAGATGAATAGGTGGTATATTTCGGGTGAAGAAATATCCATCTTTTGGCCCCCTGGAATTATTTTTTTTGTTTGTGGGTTGAGATTCGTTCGTCGTTGTGTCTCAAAGAAGACTGTGGCTTGGCTTTGTCATATTTTATAATGGTGCTGTTCTTCGGCAACGTGTCTGTAATGTGCGTCCCACTTTAGACATGTCTCCAATAAGGTCTTGACAAACATACTCATAACAAACTCCGCACGCGGCGCCGCTTGAACAAAATTCCCGTTTATGTTGTTTGTTTTTTGTGGCCTAATTCTGTGATAAGGAGGTGCAAGCCAACCTAAATATGTGAGGATCTCAGTACGTGTGGCAAAGCTTGGGAAGGTGAGGTAAGTACTGCTGATTGAGCAAGGTAGGTAGTCAGTCACGCGACCCGGGGCTTGTTGGTCTAGTCGTCTTTCTGGGCATCTATGCGCTTCAATCGTTTTCTTGTCTACTTCCTGCTGTTTCTAGCGTTGCTACCGGTGATGCTCGTAGTGGCAGCAGCAATTTACAGTTTGATACAATGATCATTTGTTTTTTTCCATTTCCAAAGTTTTGTCTCTCTATGATTACTGACTGATAGCCTTACTTTGCTCTCTGACTCTAGCCTCTACTGACTAACAACAGGTGGTCCGGTAGGCGGACCTGTCTGCCGTTGTCCCACCCAGCTACTAAACACCTCCCGGCAGTGAGAGACTACGCATTCGTTCGAGCAGTATTCCTTGTCCCATTCCGCGCACTCTACAGCGGCATTACCGCAGCCCTTTCGCCGACACATCGGCTTGTGGCTGCAGAGACCACCGTTCGCCTCCTCGCTTTTCGGCGTTAACGGCTCATTGTTGTTGAGTGCGCCGTTTACTCCGCTGACGTTATTATTGTTGCCAGCTGCCGCTGCTGCTTGCGCTGCAGCTAGACGTTGCTGATTAAACGCTCCCTTCGTCTCGTGACCGGCGTGTCGTTCTGTGACGGGCGCAGCTGGTGACCGCAGTTGTTCACCGCTCTCCTGACCATTCTGAACGGCGGTAACGGGTGACGCAGCAGGCGGGCCTTGAGGGGCTTGCTGCTGCTGAACCTGTTGTTGTACAACGGGCGCTGGTGTTGCCTGTTGCTCCTGCTTGACATGATGCTGCTGTTGTTGTTGCTGCTGCTGTGGCGTCGCTTGTGGAGGCTGATGAGCAACGTGCAGAACCTGTTGGCTCGTCTGGGAAACCTGTGGCGAAACGATAGTCTGTGCGGGCGAGTGTGTCGGCTGACTTCCAACGCTTACCGGTGGCGTCAGAAGGCCACCTGCACCTGTCGTGTCCAGCTGCTGCGAAACCATCTGCGGTTGCTGAGGCTGTGGCGGGAGACTTTGCGGGGGTGGATGCTGTTGCTGCATTGTTCCAACAGACGGATGCGGTGCAACCATCTGCTGGGACGTCATTACATGTTGACTGTGCGAGACAAGCGGGGCTGGAGCAGAGGACATATGTACAAGGGAAGAAGCCTGTGTCTGCAGAGGTTGACTGCTCGTTGTGGTAAGATGCTGTTGGCTGCCAGGGGCCTGACCCACCATCTGCACCTGTCCTACCTGGTTTTGCACCTGTCCAAGCTGCGTGTGAACCTGACCAGGTACCTGAACGTTCAAAGTGGTCGCATACTGATTGTGCAGTTGGCCACTCATCTGAGTGCCGGCGCTTGATAAATGATAATCGGGCAGCGCTGGAAGACCGTTATGTTGTTGCGGTTGTGCTTGCAGCTGCTGCTGCGCTTGTTGCTGAGCCTGCAGATGAACGTTGTTATGAGCGTAGATGATCTGTACAGGCTGTTGAGGCTGTTGCGCCATTTGCTGGGCGGCCCATTGAGCGGGGTGATGCTGCTCGATCATTACTGTTTGACTGAACGTGTTTGGTGTCGGTGGCGTCTGTGGAACAGAAACTGGCGTGGGGGGCTGTGCCGGCTGAGGTGGGCTCGGCATCGAATTGTCTTGCGCGCCAGCGCTCTGCGCCACGAGGTTGGCTTTGTATGCTGTCAACGCTTTCAAGTACTCCTTCTTCGCATCCTCGGCCTTCTGTTTGTATGAGTTTTTCTTCTCTGCCTCAAGGCTTTCCCACATTGACGCGACAATTTTCGATACTTCGCCAAAGCTCGCTGAAGGATTCTGGCCCTTGATAGCAGCCTGTGTGTCCCGGAAAAACATTGCATAGGCGGACAAAGGCTTCTTCGGTTCGTTTGGATCCTTCTTCTTTTTAGCTTGTTTCTGCTTCTTAATCGGACCTCCGCCTGATGACGTTCCATAGGAATCGGGAGACCCAGCCATCGGGCTCGATTCCCGTGTTAGCTCACTCGTTTGTTGCTGCTGCTGCTGCTGCTGCTGCTGTGCTGTTGCTGAACTGCAGTCTGTGCGGGCTGTACTGACTGCTGCTGTTGGCCTGCTACCTGCAGATTTTGCAGGTGAGTGGCCTGAGGAGCCATCTGTACAGTTTGTACGCCGAGATTTGTATACTGCTGCTGGTACGGCTGCACTTGAGTGACCTGGGCCGGCGACCAGATCTCGTGTGTGCCGAAGCTCATCATGTCAGCAGTGTCCGTCGTTTGGTATAGACCAGCGTTTGTGTGAACGTAGCTCTGAGTGCTGGGTACGTAATACGATGTCGTAACCACATCGGCTGTGGGAGTGGCTGCCGCTGTCACGGCAGACGGGTACTGGTTCAGGCCAAAGTCGTCGCCGAAGCTAGGCGCGTGGAACTCCATCTTATAAATTGCGGTCCCTTAGGTGTAATCTCCAATGTCTATATCACCAAGTGTCAATCACTAATAATCCACCTGTATTTGCTGTACGCGTGTTCTCGCTACGCAAGCACTCACTCACAAATTCCAACGAAAATCACCTAACCTTATCCACACTCAATCTCTGAACTCGTATAACTTCCTGGCTGTTTTTATTTCTGTCGAAACACTGCTAGACTCTGGGTGTCGCTCGATCGGCAGATGAATAGTAACACTTATTTCGCACACAAAAGCCGACAACCCATACTCCGTAGTTTCTAGACCTGTGGTTGCTGGTAGTAATGAGAATATATTTCTGAATATATAATATCCTACACAATGACAAGAGGACGCAATCCGGCTATGCTATTGCTAGCACTCTCGCAGTATGAAATAGCATCGATAGGAGGATAGCAGCGTACGTATGCAGTTATCCTGAAGAAGAATTGTGGGAAGAGCTGTAGTATGGAGAACGAGTGGTCTTATATCCTTAGCACATACCCAGCGCGGAAACAGTCAAAGCACCTCCAGCGCACATTATAGACCACTCTGCGGGCACCATCATTATAATCAATCCAGATCTGCAATAATTGATGCTGTAGATATCGGGTTCTTTGGTAAATTCCGGTTAGTCTGTGGCCGTTCTGGATTTTGATCTTCGACAACCGTAAAACAGCTGATACTTCTACAAAAACAACAACAAGACAAACCTAATGGTTCAGTCGAGTTCAATAAGTATTTGCCAATGTACTGCACAAAACACAATCACACTTCGTCACCAAATCCAAAATTCAACGAGTGTCGATTATCGTTAAGACTGGCCTTCAGCGTTTAGTAACGGATATATATATATATATATTCCAATCATTGGCCAGAGTATGATGATGATGATGATGGTATGATCGATGGATGGATGCGCCCTCTTCGTGAATTCGGCCCGATAGTGTAGCTAATAGTTTGCGGGTACTAAAAAGGAGTTGCTGATTCAGCAGGCGGTTGCGTTTGCGCGTGTACCTCGGTAAATTGAATTGCCCAAGGGTGTCAGTCACGCCGTCGGGGGCTGAAGCGTAGTAACGGTAACAGGGAAGAGACGATAATCGTAAGTAGAGCAAGTCACTGTTTTTGCGGTGTATCCCTGCTGATTACAGGCGTGGTAATATTACAGGGTGCTGTTATCGTTGCACCACGATGTGAAAATGATAGCTAAGTCATCAACTGACGTACCAGCTGTAAATGTTGTATCAATTGGTCTGTTGAGATAGACTAAGTGATGCGGTATTTGATGAAATTCGCAAATAGTCTTCTCGTTCTCGAACTAGTAATAGGCGCTTCACAGAGCTTGTTACTCACACAAAGAAGGGTGAAGCGCGCAAGTCGAACGACAAAATAATCTTATTACTACTGTAGTTGTAAAGGGCAGGTGTCCGGCCAGTCGTTATGTAGTTATCAAACAACAATCAGCAGCAACAAGTTGCATTTCCTTGTGGTAGCCCGTAACGAAACGGTAATAATCCTCTCGGAACACGCACCACTTTAATTATTCCCTCACACATACACACGTTCTGTTAACAAATTGTGTCCTCGTTTTTTTTTTAATCGATAGGAGAACTGTTCAATCTCGCGACTTCGTTGTCGAACACGATTATATATACGATAGCAGTAGCACAAACAGACGAAGAGAAAATGTACGGTTTTGCTCGTGGTGATGATGACAATGACTTTTATTATTGTTGTTGTTCTTGATTGGTGCACAAAATTTAATTACTGCTGTCGCCCTATCGATATTCCAAAACATGAACAATGAACGATTTGTTGTTTGGTTGTACAGTATTCCGAAAAACGCTGCACCGTCCACTCGACGTTGAAAATCACAATGCTCTCTTGTTGTCTTCCTGCCGTCGTCTGTTGCTCTATCTGTACTAGTTTACTACAACAGCTTGTTGGTCGGACGTTCGATGTCGATCGCATGTGGTCGTCTCGTATACGACCGCTAACAATCAGACGCTCACAAATGATGTGTACCCTTATGGAACAGCTGCACGTACACTGATTGTCGTTCTATTCTCGTGGTATGTTCTTTAAAATCCGTTGTTTTGGAGCAAGACACAGCTATTGAAGCCTACACTATATTCATGGTTTATGTGTTACCGCTGTTGTCTGCTGCCTACGTTCGCTGCAATCGCTCTGCGCTGCTTTTACCGCGAGCTGAGCTGCGCTAGACGACGATCCTTGGTGACGGCACACGGCACTCCGCTGTCTTTAGCCTCTGGCGGCCTATAACCGACTAACTGAATCGGCTGCCAAAGAGACGCCGCGTTTCAGCGGATTGACGCATTCGCCACGTGCAACAAGGTCAATTCGATGCGTCGGGCGGTCGTCGTTGAATGGGAGAGAGCTGCTGTACCGGTCACATCATCACTAGAAGCATGGCGTAGAAACAAGGGGAAATCATTTGTCCGAAAATTGGTAGCGACTCCGAACTAACCAAATCTAAACTTTTCCATAAAACTCGTAGAAAAAATAATGATTTTTCGAAATAAATCAACCCAGCGCGCCATATTTAGTTTGGTTGTTTCCTAAACAGGAGAAGTTGCTAGCAACATGGTATTACCACAGTCAGTCTTTCTATTGATGGAAAGATAAATTAACAGTATATAAGCTGTTTTCAGCTAACATATGGAAAAGTAACTGTTTTGTGAGGTCGATTGATTAACAGCTTATAAGCTTATTATGCACTATTCCATTTAACTGCGACCTTTACAATGCATCTAGCCAAAGAGAGGTCTGATGTCATAGAATCTTCACTCCGCGACAACAGTAGACAAGGTACGGAAAAACCAGTGGCGCCCAAACTTGAATTTGGCAATAACCAACAGACGTGAATCCCGCGATGCGCATGGTTGTTGCGTATAAATACATACCTGGAGCAACAAAAAATCAAGTTATACTGCTACAAGGCCAAGAGTGCGCACCTCATAGTCTCCGTCATAAAGCCGGAAATTGCATGACACTCCAGGCTGACGGTGGGCCGAGAACAAAGTTTTCTAACCGGAGGTGAAATCGTAAAAATTATGGCACTTTTCGAAATCTATATTCGATATATGCAGAATGAAAAATTCGTATAGTTGAAAAACAAAAACAGTTAATTTAGTAAAATAACCTAACGAAACGGCGAAAAAAGTCAAGATTTGGGGCAAAAGATGGTCCTCTAAAAATATCATTGCACTAGCAGTTTTAACACTAGTTTTACTAGTTTAACCCCTATTAATAAATAATAATAACAATAAATATGAGCTATTGCGATAGTATATATATATATATATATATATATATATATATATATATATATATATATATATATGTGCTTTTTAATTCTGTTATTTTTTAAGAAAATTCTACAACCTTTTTTGTTCGGGGGCCGTTTGGGTACTATTCGTGGCTCTGCATAATTTTATGGAAAGCAATTCACACCTCACATTATTTGAAAGGACGTATGTAGGGAAAAGGCAGGAGACATCTGTAAATAAGCATAATATCTTCAGGGTGTCAAATTGAGTTGGAAATACATTCCTATCGATGAATAATTGCTACAATAGATTTCATAATGCTAACATTGCTATCCAATTTACAGAGGAACAATTGTTTGTTACTATAATTTAGAACAGATGCGTTCGTTTTCTTTACGAACTAATGTGATTACTTCTGCTTGATCTTGTTTTTCTTCGTTATCGACACTATTGTATTTCGATTACCATTAAGGTTCCACATCATGTTACTATTATCTGTACCAAGACCAGGAAAAGCGAGTGTGGAACAGAGCTAGGCACCCCCTGTCACAAGTGTAAGATCCTTGAAACTACTTGACAAAATTCTTCTCTATTGATAACAAAATGAACTTATTATGAGATTGAGCTCAATACACAGTCAGCAAACGTATATCTCCCTCACGATTTCTATTAAGCGAAGTACAATATCGGAGATGATTAAAGGGACTCTTGAGAGGTGCTTATATAAAAAAGAAAAGTAGCCTAAATTAACGCTCGAAGTTTCCCCCTTGAGTTTTCTAAAATACACTACCATATCAAGGTGCTACGACAATTCAACATGCGATTCATAGAAATCTATCTATTGAGAGCTTGCTTCCCTAGATACAGACCTACTACAGATGGAACATATTGGTTAGTGCCGATAGATATATCGTATGTTAAATCTCGATAAACATCTTCCAAAAATAATTAACTTAGTATACTGATATTTATCCTTATTCCTACATGCTCAGATGTTTTTATGTGGCGGTCATACTTGAATAGCGTGCGACTTGTTGGGGGACCTGTTGACTATAATACATAAATAGTAATTTACGCGGATGTTTTTAGTTATCAGTAATAATCAAATTTTTATTAACTATGTATATATTCAGCATGGTTTAAATCGTTGAATATGACAGCAATGGCGACGTTATACGATAAAGCTGTTCTATAAGGCTAGGCTTCGCGTTAAAATGTCACAAAATGTTCCCGCATTATCAGACCGTAAAAAAACCGGCTATTAACTAATAACCCGATATTGTCAAATACGTTACTTTCATCTATGTCCATGTATCAAAATGAAACTAACTCATAATTCTGTAGATTATTTAGAGTAATACGAAGTGTCTTTATCGAACGATCTGTTTTTCTAAGATCCAAGTTTTGCTTGAGAAGACATACTGTTTTGCTGAAAATGACAGCCTTGTATCTAAACAATAACAACTCATTCAACGAGTTTGTTGCATACGCTAGAACCGCTCATGCTTATTCAATATAACCACTATCTATAGCGATTACTGCATATTTGAAATAAAGATGCTAATGTGAAGTGACCAAAAAACTTAGCATAACAAAGATGTACTACATGCTTCGATGGGCTAATAAATCTGCGGAGATTTGTATGTGATAATCGTTGACATGATCTAAGTGTGAGTCAGCGTAAAATGGTATACGATGAAACACGACGACTCGATATCCTACAACGATTATACGAAAGCAACACCCTGGACAGCACCAGCAATGCTATCAAATGCATCTTCTTTAGTCCGTTAACGTTGATTGACCTATGTGACACTAAAGCCTCAGTCGCTTGCTAAGTAAACAGTCGGGTAAGGTGATTAAATTCTCCGACGGTCAGAATTTATTACAGAAGCTTTGATATAGAATGTTGACATTCTAAGGTTAAAATTTCTGGAGCTAAACTGTATTGTTATTTAGCGCTGCTATTTAGCAAAAATAAAAACGCCATTCAAAACATCTCGGCCTGGACTTCGATCGCGGATTCATAAGTTACTCATTCTGTAACGCAGCATAATGTACAAACGACCGAGTAACAGTGTCCAGGAGCCGCGTTATCGTTGTTTTTATCATTTTTCACCGTCATCTATCCAAGCAAGGCTTCTATGCGCGACTGCGAACAGCGCGAGGTATCCTTGCAATTAACCTTTGTGAAACTATCTTTGGTTCTATTGTTGTTGTGTGTATGCGTTCTGTTTTGTGAGTGTTCCGATTCTGTGGGGCCTGCACTTCGCGCCCTTTCAATTGGCGTCAACCTAGGGGGAACAGAGCAACCGGCAATGGTATCGAGCAGGTGCTGTGGTCACTGATCGCGGCGCGGCATTGATCGTTGGGATGGCGGCGCCCAGCCCAGGAGCAGCAGCACCACCACATACTTCTTCTGCTTCCTCTACGACGGCAGCTGCTGCTGCCTCTGGCCAGGCCTCGAGCCCTGGCGCGTGTAGGCTTCACGAGAAATTTGAAAATTACCACGAGATCATCGTGGTCGGCGCAGGTATCGCTGGTCTATCGGCTGCCTATCACATAATGAAGGCGCAAAATGACAGCGATGTGTTAGTTCTGGAAGCTCGGGAACGTCTTGGTGGACGAGTGTTGCACGCAAAGTTAGGTAGGTAGGTAGGTAGAGTAACAGGAATGATTAGGCGATACATTCATCTTTTGAAAATGTTAACAATGATAACAGTAATAATGACAGCATGTACGAAGTATGAAGCAATGACGATCGTCTGTCTCGTAAAATAGCAAAGAAAGGGTGAACAATAAGAAAAACCCAGGAAAGGGTGCAAGAACGACTGAGTGAATGGGTGGAAAAAAACAGAAAAGATACAAAACCAGACGATAATGATTTTACCGGGAGATGGTAGCGCCTACAGGCGTACGAATAATACGCTGCACTGCACTGCAGAATGTGGAACCGGCACGGGCCGCTATATACGGAAAGAACATGAGGCTAATCAGCTGATCCGTTGGCGCACAGCATTCAAAATGCCAAGCGCAATCGGTTTTTGCTTTTACTTTCGCTTGGCTAAATAAAAAGCGGTCACACGCTATTTACAGGTACGACGAGGTTCAAGGTACGCGTGAATTTCTAACTTTTTCGTGTTTAGATGTTGGAATAGTTCAAGCAGCTAACAATAGCCAAGTAGGTTTTGGCACGGTTGGTTGATGCTATTTGCGGTTTAGATCTCGATTTTGAGATCAGATAAGATTGTCCAATAGGTAGCAAAAAATTGTGTTCTAGTGGTACACCAGAGGGTTCTGAGGAGGTATTTGGCTAATATAGAAATATCAAGGAGACTCAACTGTTCATAGTCTCACGGTAGCAAAAGTCGTTGGATACTGGACAGCTCAGCTAAAGCAGTATATAT